GATCTTCACTCATACTCAATGTCACACCGGTCAAATATGTTCAAATTTTTAAACAAATTCTTCTGAATAACCAAAATGTCCAGGGTGATTATATTTAGCCAGTAGCATGCTGGGATGAATGGTATGAAAAGTTTGTTTGCGTGAATGACCTTGACACACTTTCAAGAACACATCTGGTCAATTGTGTACAAATCTTTTAAAGTCAACTTCTTCATAAACAAAGGTCTAGGCTGGTCATATTTGGCAAGCTGCATTCTGGGATGAAGGTATATAAAGTTTCAAGGTCACAAGGGTCAAATGTGTTTTGAATGACTTGAAGTCAAGACACTGGTATTTTGCCTGTAACTTTATTTTAGTCCACTTTTAAGGCTACACGTGTGAGATTTATACCAGGTTAGCGATGCAGGCCCGCTGGGCCTCTTGTCATACCCAGTTGCAAGCATGGCAATGTAATGACAGTAGTTACAAATTACAAATACAACCATAATATACCTATCATCATTATATTGTATTTTGTTTGCATCAACATTCTGTCGTTACAAACATGACAGAATAGATCAACCTAAAAGTATATCTATTTCAAGGCCCATTAATGACTAGTTCAACCAGTTTGTAGTGAGAAAAGGGAGAAGGTGCTGGCCAGTCTGTGGTTATGAATACCATCAATGCTCCTGAGATATGGCTAATTGTCCTGCTGAGTTTGTGGTTTCACAGGCAGCCTAGACCCGCAGTCAAGTTACAAACCTTTCCACACGTGACCAGTCTCTAGAATCAGACGTCTATGCAATCGAAATTATTAGAGTAAATGTCTTTTTAGAATAATTCAGTATTTTCGAGACGGGGGCCAGTCTAACGAAACATGTGCGTAGATGATATCTATGATATATCGCACACCGCATGTCGATTAACTGTTCCAAGGAGCTTGTATTAGCAGTCATCATTTGAAAAGTGTCCGTATTTACCCGGATGTCCCTTAATAGATTATTGATCAAATTATGATTTTAACGGTGAACAAATGTCATACCTGTTGTGTTTGCTCAGGAATGCAGCTGCTTCAAAGTTTCAGAAAGGCCATGCCCTAAGTCTTCGATAAAAACATCTCCATGAGTGTGAGACTTGTTCTGTCATATCTTCTTATTAATTCCAAGTATGTTTGGGGTTTGGTCAGTAGTACTTTGGGAGAGTCGGGGAACCCATAAGGAAGTCTTTGTTTTGATTAATGGATCGATTGGTCCTACAAACTAAGAGTGAGGATTGGATGCTGAGACGTTTACCAGGAAAAGAAATTTTCAATATAAACATAAAATCCAGTGCAAATTAAAAATTCTTCCTTGTACAGGAAGTAAATGTACTTCCTATTTTGTGATTTTGTTCATATTTGTTTAAAGTCAAGGAAAATATCGTTGATAATGACATCATATATCACATTGATATGATGTCATGGTTCAGAATGTCGGCCAAAAGGGTATGGACTACTTTAACCTCGAAATTTTGTTTTAAGCAAACCTGGTAATTTTCAGACAAAATGCCACCTGTTGGTATTCGCTTTTCAAATCGTAATTCAAATTAGAAACAGGTTTTGTCTTACTCGGCGAAAATGTAGTTCACTTGGCACTCAGATAACCTAAAGTGTCAAACACTACCAAGATTGTTCAAATAAATGATCTCCACTCATACTCAATGTCACACCGGTCAAATATGTTCAAATTTTTAAACAAATTCTTCTGAATAACCAAAATGTCCAGGGTGATGATATTTAGCCAGTAACATACTGGGATGAATGGTTTGAAAAGTTTGTTTGCGTGAATGACTTTGACACACTTTCAAGGTCACATCTGGTCAATTGTGTACAAATCTTTAAGTCAACTTCTCCATAAACAAGGGTCTAGGCTGGTCATATTTGGCAAGTTGCATTCGTGGATGAAAAGATATAAAGTTTCAAAGTCACAGGGGTCAAACGTGTTTTGAATGACTTGAAGTCAAGACACTTATTTTGCCTGTAACTTTATTTTTAGTCCACTTTTAAGGTTACAAGTGTGAGATTTATACCAGGTGAACTATGCAGGCCCGTTGGGCCTCTTGTCATACCCAGTAGCAAGCATGACAATGTAATTACAGTAGTTAAAAATACAACCACAATATACATAACATCATTATATTGTATTTGTTTGCATCAACATTCTGTCGTAACAAACATGACAGAAAAGATCAACCTAAAAGTACCATATCTAATTCAAGGCCCATTATTGACTAGTTCAACCAGTTTGTAGTGAGAAAAGGGAGAAGGTGCTGGCCAGTCTGTGGTTATGAATACCATCAATGCTCCTGAGATATGGCTAATTGTCCTGCTGAGTTTGTGGTTTCACAGGCAGCCTAGACCCGCAGTCAAGTTACAAACCTTTTCCAAACATGACCAGTCTTTCGAATCAGACGTCTATGTAATCGAAATTATTAGAGTAAATGTCTTTTTAGAATAATTCAGTATTTTCGAGACGGGGGCCAGTCTAACGAAACATGTGCGTAGATGATATCTATGATATATCGCACACAGCATGTCGATTAACTGTTCCAAGGAGCTTGTATTAGCAGTCATCATTTGAAAAGTGTCCGTATTTACCCGGATGTCCCTTAATAGATTATTGATCAAATTATGATTTTAACGGTGAACAAATGTCATACCTGTTGTGTTTGCTCAGGAATGCAGCTGCTTCAAAGTTTCAGAAAGGCCATGCCCTAAGTCTTCGATAAAAACATCTCCATGAGTGTGAGACTTGTTCTGTCATATCTTCTTATTAATTCCAAGTATGTTTGGGGTTTGGTCAGTAGTACTTTGGGAGAGTCGGGGAACCCATAAGGAAGTCTTTGTTTTGATTAATGGATCGATTGGTCCTACAAACTAAGAGTGAGGATTGGATGCTGAGACGTTTACCAGGAAAAGAAATTTTCAATATAAACATAAAATCCAGTGCAAATTAAAAATTCTTCCTTGTACAGGAAGTAAATGTACTTCCTATTTTGTGATTTTGTTCATATTTGTTTAAAGTCAAGGAAAATATCGTTGATAATGACATCATATATCACATTGATATGATGTCATGGTTCAGAATGTCGGCCAAAAGGGGATGGACTACTTTAACCTCGAAATTTTGTTTTAAGCAAACCTGGTAATTTTCAGACAAAATGCCACCTGTTGGTCATCGCTTTTCAAAACGAAATTCAAATTGAAATAAAATGTTTTTATCTTACTCGGCGAAAATGACAACTATTTACTAATAGTTCACTTGGCACTCAGCTTGCCTAAAGAGTCAACACTTAGAAAATACTACCAAGATTGTTCAAATAAATGATCTTCATCCATACTCAATGTCACAACGGTCAAATATGTTCAACACTTTAAACAAATTCTTCTGAATAACCAAAATGTCCAGGGTGACGATATTTGGCCAGTAGCATGCTAGGATGAAGGGCTACAAAGTTAATTTGTTCAAATGAATGACCGTAGTCATATTCAAGGTCACGGGGGTTAATTGTCTTAAACAACCCTTAAACAACTTCTGAATAACCAAAAGGACCAGGGTGATGATGTATGGCCATAAACTTGCTGGCATGAAAGGCTACCAAGTTTATGCAATTGAATGTTCAAGGGTACAGGGGTCAAACATGTTTGAAATCTTAAAACAACTTCTGAAAAACTAAAAGGCATATAATGATGATATTTGGCCAGTTACATGCTGGGATCAAGGGCTACCGTTCAAATGAATGACCTTGACTTTTGTCACAAGGTCAAATATGTTTGAACCTTAAAACGGCTTGTGAATAACAATAAGGCTCAGAATGTTGATATTTGGCAAGGAGCATGCTTGGAAAAAGGGCTATCAAGGTATTTCATTTTAATGACATTGACCCACTTTCAAGGTCACATTTGGTAAATATGCATGAACCTTTAAATTACTTCATCTCTATAAACAAAAGGTCTAGGGTTTTGATATTTGCAAGTTCCATGCTGAGATGAAGGGTTTTAAAGTTTGTTTAATGTGACCTTGTTTGACTTTCAAGGTCACAGAGGTCAAATGTTTTAAAATCTTTTAACTGGTTCTTTAGAACGACTTATAGTCATAAATACTTATCGTTTGCCTGTAGCTTTCTTTAAGATCACTTTTAAGGTTACAAATGTAAGATATATACCCGATGAGCGATGCAGTGGGCCTCTTGTTTACCGAGTCACGAGGACATCTTCTGATTTATGATTATGTATTATGGACCACACAACATGAACCATTATCATTGTATTAACACTTGTGAAGTTTCCTTAAAATCTGACTGAAAATGAGGCTGATGGACCAATGACAAACATGCTATATTTATCGTTAGTGACCTTGACCTTATAAACAGGACCAAGATCTACAGACACATTCAAGGTATTTTTCAGAACTGACCACTTTTCTGTCTTGTCAAAATCTGATGAAAAATAACGTCGAAAGAAAAATGACAAACATTGCTATTAACTGTGACCCTGAAGTGTTACGTTTTTCTGATTTTCATGTAATTAACCTTATGTAATGTTTAATCCAAATGAGAGCAGAATTGAGCTAGTACAACATAGACAGTTTTTATCCCCATGGCCAGGTTTCAGAGAACTTCAGGATTTTAATTTGGGTGTGTCTGTCTGTATGTCACACTTCGTATCTGTACAAAAACTCCCCTAAAATTGGTTCCATTTCAACCAGATTTGGTGCATACCATAACTCATTCACCCCTGAAGACACATTTGAACTCCTCCAATTCAAAGGTTGGAATAGTTCATTATGAAATTCCAGGGGTGAATGAGTTAACCTTTACTAAAATAAATAGAAGGTGATGGAGCGGTGATGCTAAAGTGTGATACACATGTACACATAGAAATAGGCAACACTATGTTACCCGTTGCTATTTCATGGCGTTGACATTAAAATACACTATATTAATAATTATGTCCTGATAAAAAAAACAAAAAAAAAATGCATCTTTTTTCATTTATTTAAAAAAACTATCTTTTCCAAATCCACACAAGTCATTGTACAAGCTTAACTCTTTGAAATAGGTTGGAACCATTCTGTATCTTTTGCCTTTAATGGCAAAGTTACCGGCAACTATACCGTACACAGACTTATCCCAGTCAGAAATATATTTCACTTCCTCACCAGTAAAAGGATGATGTTTCGTCCAGAAAACCCAGTTCGATTTAATAGCAATATATTTGTCTTCTTGTGTCTTTTCCTTATAAATTCGAAAGATACGTTTTCTGCTGTCTACCTGTAGTAGGACTATGGCAACTGTAATAAATACGGATGCAAGAGCTGTGAGTACAGTTCTGGGATCCGATGCTATGGAGGAAGTTTCGAGACCTAAGCTGGTCATTCCTTGCCATTGTTCATACAAAGAACGTACTACCATCATTTGTAAAACACTGAAGACAGTTTTCGCTCCTGTAAAGATGGTCAAAGTAAAACGCTGATGAGAATCCATATAGATAAGCGAGTGGCTTGCTGGAACCTTATCTGCTATGCGCAGGTTTTTAAAGTATGCATCGTCAAATGCGGCCTCTTCAATATCTGGCGTCGGTTGATTGGGAAATGGTGTCTCTGTACGCCGAGACGAGTTGGAAGACTCCACTTTATATGCACTTGGATGAATATTCTGGTAAACTTTTTTCTCACGTCTTGGATGCAGGTTGTTTGAAGGGTTTCGATGACTTTGAGTATTGGGTTTTGACTCGGTAGAACGCTGCCTTGCCAGCAAACATTGTCTTGTCCAACAGAACTGTCTCAGTTCCATTATCTAAATCAAAGAAAATAGTAACTTATGATCTAATAATTTCATTGTATAAAAAGTTTCATTAAAATCAGTTGTGTAGTGGACTAGACAAAATTCTCTACAGAAAAAAAACATTACTTCAAGGGCCGTAACTCTTAATTCAAATATGGTTCAATGACACATAACAGTGTACAGCTTCATGCTGGTCAAAATTAGAAAATTTCACCGTGTACTTTTAGATTAAACTGGACAAGGTTTTGTGAGGCTAAGTTAATTAAGGGCCGAAATATCTCTTACTAGGAATGGATTTAACAAAATTAGATTAATTATCATTTATATTTATTTTCATAAACATTGGGAGAAGAAATACCAATAGTTAAGGCTAATTCTCAAATAGCTGTCAACCACCCCTCCTTTAATAAACTAGAAAATGTTTGTAAGACATAAACGCCCCCGCTGCCATGTGAAATTAGTTTCAGTGTTCTATAAAAAGTTACAACCACTTTGATCTTGATACCCTGAAACATGCCCACACACAAGGTACTACACTTAAAGTTGATAAGTTGATTTTAATATTCATATGTTTTTTCTGTATGTTATTACCATCTCCATAACATATTGAATGAAGTTGCTTTAAAAAGTGTTTAAATTGAATCAGTTGATGATTTTCTATATATAGCAAGTGTGACCTTGGCCTTGACCTTGGATCCCTGAAACACAACGATGTCTGAAGTATACTCATACTTGACTTTTGAATAAATTTTGACCAAAATCTGTCAAAGATGAAGTTGCTGATCCCTGAAACACAACGATGTTCGAAGTATACTCATACTTGACCTTTGTATAAAATTTGACCAAAATCTGTCAAAGAATGAAGTTGCTAAGTGTTTACATTGAATCGGGACGCGATTGAGCGGGACGGGACGGATATGGGCAACACTATATGCCCCCACCCCCCATTTTATGGAGGGTTGTACGTTTGTATAAAGTTTGATCAAAAACTGTCAAAGAATGAAGTTGCTAAGTGTTTACATTGAATCGGGACAGGACGGACATGGGCAACTCTATATCCCCCCCCCCCATTTTAAGACGCGGGCATATACAGTAAAAACCCATGTAATTTGCACACTTTTTTACTTTTTTTCCAGAAATTTAATACCCAAAGTGGGGGGTGCGTAAAATACACAGGTATAAGAAATTTCAAGGTTTTTTTCAGGAAAAGATCAAAGATTCTGGTAGACCGCCATCTTAGATTATCTCCCTTGGTACACGAAATTCTAAGACAAATGACGATCAACAAATTTATTTATGACAAACATTTATAAAAGATACAGTTGATACATAATGTGTTGTGACCCGAGTTTATCTGAAAAGTATTATTAAATATATAACGGATAAAAAAGAAAGTTTAGCCAAAATCCTATGCCAGAGAATCGCCAGATCAACTTAATTACGTTTCGACATCTCAGTGCGTTTTCCCCATACTATTACGAAAATGTAGTTGTTCAATGTACCAAGAATTACCAATCTCCCTCAAACTCCCTCATTCAAGTCAAAAATCACAAAAGCTCAAAATCTACATCCTGTGATCCCCTAGTTACTGCAAGGTGTACATGTGTGTAACGATCATAATAGGTGTCTGAACCAATTAATGCCTATTTTGATACTAAGAAGTGAAAGATAAATTGAGTAAAGCAGTTTCATTTGTGTTTCACACACTTTCTGCCTTTGCTGAAATGTGGAATGAGGGAGATCTCCCTCATTGGGGGTTTCCGAGGCCGACTGACCTAGGATTCTGATATATCAGATGTTGAAGTCTGGTAGATGAATACCCACTGATATATACACGTACATAACAACACAAATACTAGGGCTGTCACAATATATCAGAAAATAGGTATATCGCAATACACAGGCATATCGTATCGTACCACAATACAGAGATGAAATATTGCTGTATCACAATATTTTTCAAAAGCATATTTTTATGTATCTGCTTGGTGTTTTAACTTTGCAACTTACTACAAATTCTAACAGATATGCCAATTAGCATAAAGCGGGCTTTTAATAGTTCAAATTTTGTAATTGATGGTATGTTTGACAAAAATCTTAAATCTATGTTATTCATATTATATGCGATTAAGTTTCATAACATTCTGACAACTTATTATAAACTCGAGCACCACTTTCCTATGACAATATATTGTGATACACTCTTAGCATATTGTGACACCCCTAACAAATACATATGTTGTTTTACCCTGCCATGTCTTTGAGTTTGCAGTGTGGGGCTGGTCGCAAGTCGATACAATACCCACGGCATTTTGCACCGGCTCAACATGGCGTATGGATATCTGAAATATATACAACACAAGTACTAAGGGCTGGTCACTCGAGGTGACTGACAGTGGTTATCAATGCATAAGAAAACAGATACCATGCATGTAAAATATCTTAGTTATTTAAAATGCTTTCCGATTGTGAAGGCAAAAATATTTAACCTGTTTTTCATGTTACATCATTTTCCCATTTGAATTAATTTTCCGGACTTGGTTTATAGTCAACAAATGATGAAATTCAGCACAAAGAAAGGGAATTATCCAGCGCTATAACTTAGGGGGGGGGGGGGGGGGTCCCAATTTTCAGGGTGTGTGTGTTCCATGTGGGGATATTGGTGAAAACACATGATTTTAAAAAAAAAATCTCAGGTTGGGGGGGTGGGGTGGTTGTTCCTGAAGCCCCCCAAAAAACTCTGAAACTGCCACTGGGCCTAGTATGGCGCGCTCGGGCCCACACCAGACGTATATCTGTCAAAATGTCAGGGCCAGAGAAAACTCTGGCTACATTCTGAGGCACTGTATCTTAAACAATAATGCCAAATTGCCCAAATTTTCTTTTTCTTTTTTTTTCTCTATGTAACATAATTTCATAAAAATGCTGGCTTATTTGAATTTGAAGTGCACAAAAAGTACCACAGCAAACTCTATAGTTACTGCCTTTTGATTTTCAGCGGAGCTTGACTGGGTCGGTAGTTCAAGTGGTAGAGCGTCCCTCTAGAGTTACCTGGTCGACGATGATCGACCCAGTCCAGTTCCGCTACAAATCAAAATATGTACCACGTTGTAGTTAACTCGATTTGGTACCTGTGACCAACTTGTTTTAAGAACTGTGTGAAAATTTGGCAATAAGATACCCGAACCCGGGTTGTATGTTGTCTTCGGATTAAATACTTAGAAAAAGGAGGGAGGAATGTAGCAGAACTTGATGGGTCAATCGTTGTAGTTCAAATGGTAGAGCGCCTGCAGCTGTCTACCGACTGTAGAGTTCGGAGGGTCACAGGTTCGAACGCTGGTTACACCACACTACTCACTAGACAATCGTTTATGCAATGGGTATTAGGGGATCATGTCCAAAACGGAACATTTGTTACTGTTATACAAGAACATCTGTATCATACAATACACGATAAGTCACTACATTTTCCGTTAGTCTAAACTCTTTACGCTCAACTCACATGTCAAAGTCGGTACAATATAATGTTGTACCGTAGGCGCGTTCGCTTCAACCGGAAATATTGCTAACCTGAATAATCTTCGTATTCATTAGAGCGGACTTTTTGATATAGTAAGTTAAGGTTCAACTAGCCCCCTAATAAATGATGTAGTCACCTAAAATTTCAAACCCCTGATAAGTCATGTTCATATACCTCGATTAAAAATTGGAACTTATACATTAATAGTGTTATTTGTTTATATTGAACTTGTACATTGGTTCTACAAAAATACATGGCCAGGTTAACTTTGCCAAAAATAATGCATTAAGGCTGATGTCTTCCAAAAAATAGCTCACTGGACTTGTAAAATGTCAATCTCTTTTGTGATCCAACTGAGTGCTGAGAAATGACCCGTAATTTAAAGTTTGTTTATTTCTCTCCTACTCTACTAGCTGTTGAGATGAATTCCTACCTCGAATAAAGATAGAAGTGGTTTCCACTAGAATCATAGTAACAGTCCCTAGTAAAATATTTAAATAGATTATAAATAAGAAAACAAAGGCTAAGAAACCTTGATCGATAAATTAACTTTATAGATGATGTGACATTTAATAACATTGAATGCGCTAGACATGTTATATACATTAATTGAAGCTGAAAAGTGCGATAATGATTATAACAAGTCTAGCTTTTTTATAACAACATTAAAATTTTAAGAAAGTTCACTTTATATGAAGTTTATGTAGTTTTTATGGTCTTAGGTTTTTGGTTTTACACATATATACCAGTAAAATACGGTTTCACTGTGATTTTTGTACATACCCATAGCAACATATGCCTCCCCACAACTAGTAGGAGAGAAATTCAGCTCCGCATGTCCATGGTATATAAATGAACTTTAAATGATATGCCATTACTGACTACATTAACATCATAATGTACATTTTTAATAGCTCATGTACATGTTCAATGTATTTAAATTACATATATATATTCCGATTTTTAATAAGGGTCTGTGAATATGACTTACTGCATGTATATAAAGTGTTAGGCCTTTTTGATTTGTGAGAATAAAAAAATCGTATTGCAGAGTTATCTGCTCTTGTGAGCAGGTACTGATTGTTACGTCATTCATTTGTGAGAGTAACGTCATCAATTTTTGAGAAAACGACGTAATTTTCTCACACAAACCAATGACGTAACAATCAATACCTGATCACAGATAACTCTGCAATACGCAAAGACGGAATAGTCAGAATAAAACCTGTGTATCTAAGAGAGCTCCTACATACAGATTTGTTACAGCTATATTTGGACCTTAGCTAATTTAAAAAAAAATGTTAAAAGTAATGGGTTTTCGATAAATTTTCGGTAAAAATTGCCACCTCAATGATACCGAAAATTGACCGAAACCACTAAAACGTGTAAAATTATTCCATGATTTTACTTAACTCTTTAACTCCTTATGTACACATGAGCAATAACGCATTTCAAAGTTTCCAGTAAAATACATCTTATTCTGTTCAAACAAAGAGTTGGGAGATTTGTCTTATTTAGCAGAGAGTCGCATGATGACTCATACTCATTATAATACAATTCTTAATGCTCTGAACTGAACTTTCTCTGATTTCTCTCTGTTTATTTTACTACAGAAGTGTCAGATGAGTAATCACCATTGTAGTTATATAAAGTTTGATATAACAAAAGATTTGAACATGAGAAGTTTGACTCGACACTAGACAAAAAAATCCTCGGTCTCTGTACTTTTACACAGGACAGTAGCCTCAGGTGCCTGTTAGTTTATGCGGAACAACCGGGTTGTCTGTTTTTAAAAGTAACATTTTCGGGTATAAATCCTGGCAGACATGCATATGTTTAAGCAGGCCTTGCAAGACTTTGTCATGGTTCACCTGAAAGGAGCCTCAGATTACTAGGTCCGAATTTATTTCATAAACGAACAACTCTTGTTTAACCGGTTCAACCGTTTGGATCGCGATAAACGAAAGCGGCCCTGGTTATCTCAGTTAAGCTTGTAGTCTACTTCAAAACCAAGTTAAGTGATCCTATGTTCTAGTTCCCTCCTCTAAACGAACATAAATTATTTATCATATAAACTCAAACAATAGTAGAGAGGAGCTGTATTCTAATCAGATTGCAGACAGACTGGACAGTTCTGACTTGAGTCACGTATGCCTGTCGATATTGCATGAAAATATCAGGATTTGCTATAATTTGCTACGTTACTCAAGTCAGTACGGATCTTGCCTTCACTCTCAGTTAAGAGTTGTGATCAGCAAATCTTTGTTTTTACTTCAGAATGAGAGGATATTGTCATCAGCATAATTATAAATAGTAGATTTCTTAACAAAATAGTCAGTGTCATTAATTAACATTTATTGAAAAACAAAGGGCCTAGTATGGAGCCCTGGGATACTCCTTTTTTTATCCTAGCCGTGAACTGGTACTGTTTCCAATTGTGACTTGTTGATGATAAAAATAGCCATTATTTTAATTTAATGACATATTGTGTCAAAGACTCATATGATCAAGCATAATAAAATATACACTATTTACAACAAAAACTGTCGTTTGAAATCTATTTTTGATGTAGCTAGCCACAAGAATACATGCATGTTTTGATAGGCCACACGCTTCAAGTTCGTAACCATCAGGTCGTTAGGCAAACAGTCAAACACATTTGATAAGTCCACCAAGACAGCAGCTACATACAAATTGTTATCATGAGACATCTTTCAATCTTCAACAATGCGAAGCAGAGTTGTTTGACAGCCATATGATACCAAGGAGACTGTGAATTTGCTGAACTGTTCGCTCAGTAATCTTCAATAAATTTTGAATTAAGTGGGTAAGACGCTAACAGGACGATATTTTTGTTCACAAAACGGGTCGTCTAACTCTTTATCATCAATAGATTTTAATTGCGCCTTTTTAAGTTGAGCAGGAAAAGCTTACTTATCTAGCCTAGTATTAGCTAGGTCACATATAGGTTTCTTTCGCTGTAGTCTACATCGTTGTAAGCTTTTGACGATGTCTTGCTTGTATGGCGTTTACTATTTAATAATGTTCATCCGGTTGCGCATAAATTGATAAAAGTCCATTATTTACCCATTGATGAGTTGTGAGGGTATAGGTTATGTTGCTCACACGTTATAAAAGTTCCCCCTCTAGATATAAACACACGTGTTTACGCTTGTTGATTTGTTCCCAAACGGTCGATAAAAGTACACATAATTTGAAAACACATGTGGTGTCCGTGGTATTAATTGTAAAACGAGGCCAGGAATTTGGACCTGTTGATAATGTAATGGTTGTTCAGTAATGTTTTGAAGCTGTTAAGGTTCAGTGCTGTGGCAATCACTTCCGGTAGACTGTTCCATGTTGTTATTGTTCGGTTATTGAAAACGTTTTTATTTACTTCAAGACGAAACGGTTTCTTGCATTTTTGGATGCCCCGTGATCCCCGTATAAACATATGTTCATGGTCAACGAGGTCGATGTTATTTAGGATTTTGTAGATTTCGATGAGATCTGCTTTCTCCCTTCTACATACTCGAGTGTAGGTAGTCCTGATTTCGTAACCTTTCATTGTATGGTAGGTTTGATCTATTTTTGATTCGTTTTGTGAACCTCCTTTGTACATTTTCAATGGAGATTTTGTCTTTGATGAAGATTGGAGACCATATAGGTGTTCCATACTCTTAAGTAGTGTAAACATGTCTATGTCCATATAAGGAAAGTACGGAAGATAGTGCCAAGGATTCTGTTAGCTTTTGTAACTGCTGTATTGCAACTTATTGTCTATAGTGAAGCCAAGGTCCTTCTCGTTTTCGACTTTCTCTATCTAATTGTATCATCAGGAAAATGAAGATTGTAGATGTGGTTACTTCCCCTGAATTTTCCAACTTCCATGTGTTTACACTTATATTTGTGTGTTTAATTTCATTAACCAGTCGTAGGTCCATTTACATATGTCGTCCTGGAGAAGTTTACGATCTTCTTTGTTGGAGATTTTTGAGTATGATATAGTAGCAGGCGATGAGACCCCATGTCGCAGGCTTTGGCAAAATCCATGTAGATCACGTCGATATGTTTACCTTGATCTAAGCTTAAGGTTTGTGTCCAATCTTCGAAGACTTCAATGAGCTAAGTAGTACATGACCGTATAGGTCTAAAGCCATGTTGGCGTGATTCCTGCTCATATGATCTAATATTTCATTTCTTATGATCCGTTGGAGAATTTTGCACGGGACTGAAGTAAAGCTTATAATATTGGTCTATAGTTTCCTGGTTCCTTTTTTTATCATTTTTTAAGTATTTGTCTTACGATCGTATTTTTCCATTGGTTATGTAGCTTTCCTTCAATGAACGTTTTGTTGTATAATACCGTCAAAGGCTTGACCAAGGCCGGAGATGCAGCCCCTAGTAACAGTTTTAGAGAGTAGAGATCTTATCCTTTTGCCGTTCGTTTAGTCAGATTTTACTTACTTGTCCTGATCATTCTTCGTCTATCCTACAAGACAAGAGATCCAGTTTAAATTACAAACACAAATTTAAGTATTGCTTTCTTTTGCCAAAAATGTGGAATTGGGTTTAACCTAGACAGAGAGGAGGAGGAGGGGTGGGCGCCAAAACAAGTTCACTGCACGTTACAGCCGTTTCGTTCTTGTAGGACTCATCGATGAAGCAAGGGGCCAAAACTGGTTGAATTGGGTTTAACCTAGACACAGAAAGGATGAGGAAGGGTTGCCAAAACTGATTAAAGTATGCATACTAAGTATTATGAACCCTGTCACCACTCGACGGAGATATCTGTGGCTATCGGGGTTGTCTCAGAGATGTATATGGCTTTATATGTTTCTGGTTGCAGCCAACCTCGGGTCATATAAGAAACCACCAGCAGAGTCTACCACATTCTTTATTAAAATTAAAGTTGAACGTGAGGCACACACATGATATTGCATCTATAAAATTTGGTAAAGATACAGTATACCAAC